CTAACATTCTATCTTCCTCTCTGTCTCTGTGTTATTCTCTAACATTCTATCTTCCTCTCTGTCTCTGTGTCATTCTCTAACATTCTATCTTCCTCTCTGTCTCTGTGTCATTCTCTAACATTCTATCTTCCTCTCTGTCTCTGTGTCATTCTCTAACATTCTATCTTCCTCTCTGTCTCTGTGTCATTCTCTAACATTCTATCTTCCTCTCTGTCTCTGTGTTATTCTCTAACATTCTATCTTCCTCTCTGTCTCTGTGTTATTCTCTAACATTCTATCTTCCTCTCTGTCTCTGTGTCATTCTCTAACATTCTATCTTCCTCTCTGTCTCTGTGTCATTCTCTAACATTCTATCTTCCTCTCTGTCTCTGTGTCATTCTCTAACATTCTATCTTCCTCTCTGTCTCTGTGTCATTCTCTAACATTCTATCTTCCTCTCTGTCTCTGTGTCATTCTCTAACATTCTATCTTCCTCTCTGTCTCCGTGTCATTCTCTAACATTCTATCTTCATCTCTGTGTCATTCTCTAACATTCTATCTTCCTCTCTGTCTCTGTGTCATTCTCTAACATTCTATCTTCCTCTCTGTGTCATTCTCTAACATTCTATTTTCCTCTCTGTCTCTGTGTCATTCTCTAAAATTCTATCTTTCTCTCTGTCTCTGTGTCATTCTCTAACATTCTATCTTCCTCTCTGTCTCTGTGTCATTCTCTAACATTCTATCTTCCTCTCTGTCTCTGTGTCATTCTCTAACATTCTATCTTCCTCTCTGTGTCATTCTCTAACTCTCTATCTTCCTCTCTGTCCCTGTGTCATTCTCTAACATTCTATCTTCCTCTCTGTCTCTGTGTCATTCTCTAACATTCTATCTTTCTCTCTGTCTCTGTGTCATTCTCTAACATTCTATCTTCCTCTCTGTGTCATTCTCTAACATTCTATCTTCCTCTCTGTCTCTGTGTCATTCTCTAACATTCTATCTTCCTCTCTGTGTCATTCTCTAACATTCTATCTTCCTCTCTGTGTCATTCTCTAACTCTCTATCTTCCTCTCTGTCCCTGTGTCATTCTCTAACATTCTATCTTCCTCTCTGTGTCATTCTCTAACATTCTATCTTCCTCTCTGTCTCTGTGTCATTCTCTAACATTCTATCTTCCTCTCTGTCTCTGTGTCATTCTCTAACATTCTATCTTCATCTCTGTGTCATTCTCTAACATTCTATCTTCCTCTCTGTCTCTGTGTCATTCTCTAACATTCTATCTTCCTCTCTGTCTCTGTGTCATTCTCTAACATTCTATCTTCCTCTCTGTCCCTGTGTCATTCTCTAACATTCCATCTTCCTCTCTGTCTCTGTGTCATTCTCTAACATTCTATCTTCCTCTCTGTGTCATTCTCTAACATTCTATCTTCCTCTCTGTCCCTGTGTCATTCTCTAACATTCTATCTTCCTCTCTGTCCCTGTGTCATTCTCTAACTCTCTATCTTCCTCTCTGTCCCTGTGTCATTCTCTAACTCTCTATCTTCCTCTCTGTCCCTGTGTCATTCTCTAACATTCTATCTTCCTCTCTGTGTCATTCTCTAACTCTCTATCTTCCTCTCTGTCCCTGTGTCATTCTCTAACTCTCTATCTTCCTCTCTGTCCCTGTGTCATTCTCTAACATCCTATCTTCCTCTCTGTGTCATTCTCTAACATTCTATCTTCCTCTCTGTGTCATTCTCTAACATTCTATCTTCCTCTCTGTCCCTGTGTCATTCTCTAACATTCTATCTTCATCTCTGTGTCCTTCTCTAACATTCTATCTTCCTCTCTGTCTCTGTGTCATTCTCTAACATTCTATCTTCATCTCTGTGTTATTCTCTAACATTCTATCTTCCTCTCTGTCTCTGTGTCATTCTCTAACATTCTATCTTCCTCTCTGTCTCTGTGTCATTCTCTAACATTCTATCTTCCTCTCTGTCTCTGTGTCATTCTCTAACATTCTATCTTCATCTCTGTGTCATTCTCTAACATTCTATCTTCCTCTCTGTCCCGGTGTCATTCTCTAACATTCTATCTTCATCTCTGTGTTATTCTCTAACATTCTATCTTCCTCTCTGTCTCTGTGTCATTCTCTAATATTCTATCTTCCTCTCTGTGTCATTCTCTAACATTCTATCTTCATCTCTGTGTTATTCTTTAACACTCTCTCTCTCTCTCCTCTCCCTCCCCCCCTCTCTCTCTCTCTCTCTCTCTCTCTCTCTCTCTCTCTCTCTCTCTCTCTGTGTGTCTCTCTCTATCTTTCTGTCTCTGTGTCATTCTCGAACACTCTTCAAATTTAAGGTACAATATGACATAATTTCATACCCTGTAATCAGTTTATTGTCCAGTTTACATTGAACAGAGATAACAGAAATCAGTGTAATTTTATCTCATTGAATTTCTCAATCACAACATAACATGTACCACTGGCCTGTTGTATATACTATATCAACACAATTCTGATAAAATAATGACAGAAATTGTATAGAATTTATCATTTCCTTACAGTTAAACATTTTTTATTATTCTAGAATCTTTATAGATCCTTTTACAACAATTCTGAAATAGATTACACTACTTGTTTCTTGTTTCCCCATTGTGTCATATGTTTATTTTAAAAGGCAATTTTCAAAGAAGCACTGTTAATGTCAAAATGAACCATTTTATTTGTTAACTGTTCAGATATTTTTTCACTTGTCTAACTACCTTGTATACACTAATATTTTTCAAAATGTTACAGAAAACACATTTTTTTCTGTCTGGCCTAGCATATGAACTTTAATAAACAGATAATATTTTGATAAAGTCAATGTTTTCATGTGGTTATACAGTAAAAAGAACGAGAGTGCCCAAAAATCCTCATTTCAATACAGAGCTGTGTCAACATTGTCAATAACAGATGAGAGAGGAACCCTAACGTTAAGACATTAATCTACCAGATGCAGTTATGTTTCAGATGTTACCTCATTAGTTGGAATGGCTGAGTTAAACATTGCATAGTCAAGGTTACTTTCAGGTGGGGTCCCTTTATGCTAATAACAACTGGTAGCTTCCTCTCTGAACAACATACAGGAGGTCCATCACTAGACATCCACAATACGTGGATGAAGATTCTTGCCAGAGGTCAAAATCACAATAACATTAAATGGTTCTTCTAAGCTTAGTGAAAAGCAGAAAACACACAACTCCATACTTCATCTGAGTTTTAAAAAGGCAAACACTTAGTTGACTGTACAATTATCCATTACCATTGAGTAAGAAAAATATTTTTGTCATTTTGTTTCTCCTTTTTCATGTCCAATTATCGTCTTTTTTTATCTATGACAACCTGACTTGCATTGTTACCCTGTTTCTGAAACATGCATGATGAAATATACCATACTTAAAATAGTCTTAATATAAACATGTCCTGTAATAAGTCATTCTCCAGTAATTAGACATTCTCCTGTAATTAGCCATTCTCCATTCTCCTGTAATTAGCCATTCTCCTGTAATTAGCCATTCTCCATTCTCCTGTAATTAGTCATTTTCCTGTAATTAGCCATTCTCCTGTATCTAGTCATTATCCTGTAATCAGTCATTCTCCTGTAATTAGTCATTTTCCTGTAATTAGCCATTCTCCTGTAATCAATCATTCTCCTGTAATTAGCCATTCTCCTGTAATTAGCCATTTTCCTGTAATTAGTCATTCTCCTGTAATTAGCCATTCTCCTGTAATTAGCCATTCTCCTGTAATTAGCCATTCTCCTGTAATTAGCCATTCTCCTGTAATTAGCCATTCTCCTGCAATTAGCCATTTTCCTGTAATTAGCCGTTCTCCTGTAATTAGCCAATCTCCTGTAATTAGCCATTCTCCTGTAATTAGCCATTTTCCTGTAATTAGCCATTCTCCTGTAATTAGCCATTTTCCTGTAATTAGCCATTCTCCTGTAATTAGCCATTCTCCTGTAATTAGCCATTCTCCTGTAATTAGTCATTATTCTGTAATAGGTAATTCTCCTGTAACTAGGCTATAGATACAGTGGATCATATTACATGTAGTTAGGATATCCATAAACCAGCCCATCAAGAAGTTGAGACTGTTATCAAAATCCTAGGTCCTGTTCTCTTTTGCGGACAAACATGTTCGTCTGCACTTTCAATGTAACATAGCAGGTATAAGTCAGAACGAACCTGCAACTATTAATACAGTCAAGGAAAGGAAGAGTCATAGCTCGTAAGAGAACGAAATAAGATCAGTGATTCAGTCCTTACGTCATAAAGGATTAACCCTGGTCAAACCAAGAAATAAAAACAGCCTTACGGTCAAACCAAGAAATAAAAACAGCCTTACGGTCAAACCAAGAAATAAAAACAGCCTTACGGTCAAACCAAGAAATAAAAACAGCCTTACGGTCAAACCAAGAAATAAAAACATGGTCAAACCAAGAAATAAAAACAGCCTTACGGTCAAACCAAGAAATAAAAACAGCCTTACAACTTCAATCATCTCCACTGCTTTTGTTTTGTTTTTGTTTTTTCATTTATTATTTTTTTGTTAGAATACCTCATGCCACATTAACACATTTTTTTATATTTAATTGTCTGTTGTATTCACCTGTCACCATATCTGTATAAAAAAAACCACAGATGTGTAAATGATCATGTGACGGTTCACACTTTACTGCTCGGCTGTGCTCTACAGTACTATGTGTATATATACCAATATACATAACATTCTCGTACCCGACAGGTCTCTCGGTACACTTATTAATATTTTCCACGCAGACCTATAAATATATACGTTAAATTACAAATAGTAAACCCATTCAACAATGCTACCTAGTATAAACTGACAGCCTGAATAAGTGTTTTAAATGTATTAGTAACCTGGCTGTATGTATGTAATAAGCTTATACTTGAACGTGGTGGCCCGGGGTAATTTTATAGTTTGAAAACCCATGACAGCATCTTTAGACCAGTAAACCTGTGTGTAGAGTACTCACGTCACATTCCTGTCCCCACACGACCCCGAGGGGAGTATCCTAATGCCCGGGGGTGCCTTACTAACCATCTCTCCTGTTGGATACGAGACAGAAGCTCCCGGCTCTCGTGATCGTAGTGAAAACTGACAACGTCCGAAGGCCAGCGACAAGGAAATCGGAACACCTCGCGAATTATCATAAGTGACCTAACGACGGAATATTGAAAGTACAGCCAGCTTTGTCGTCTGCAATTCACGACAGAGCATGCGCAGACTCACCAGGATTTCCGACCGTGATAAGGCTGCCAAGAATGTTTTAATTATATGACTTGTGCAACATGTAGGTTATTCATATTGGTAATTTCGGTTTTTTATTTGTTTTTTTAAGTAAACAAAAGATGAAGTCTGCATTAAAAACCATAAATTACTGACTCGAATAGACCTTTTCATATATCCCGAAACAACTAGATTGTGTACCGAAGCGACTTGAATGGGTAATGAATTGAAGTTTTCATTTATATACAGAAACAGCATTTTAGAATAAGCTTGAATGATTATCGGATCAACTTGTTATATAAAATCAGATAAGTATGTTATATATAATCAGATAAGTATGTTATATATAATCAGATAAGTTATATAAATCAGATAAGTTATCAGTTGTGTTTCAGGAAGTGTGTGAACTGATTGTCATAAGTGACCTGCACAGTGTAGTTTCAGTGGGTTTTTTTCCGTGTAGAGTTCAAAGAAAGCAAGCTCGGTTCGGTATCAGAGTCTACCACCATTTTATTCTTGGTTATTATTAAAATCATTTATTATTGTTATAAGTATTTGATAGCATAACAATCTTTATCCGTTTAATTGTTTAAAATGGTAACCCTAATAAATGTTATGTACGAGATGAAAAACATTGACACACGTGAACATCAAAAATCGAGAGTTATCTTCCTTTGTCCAGTTTAATTTCATGTACGCGTATTTTGCCAATTTCTTTCTGCGCTGTTTGCCCACTGTGTGCCCATTTCAATTTCAATATTTACCTAGTGCAGGAAATTCATGTACTACCGCCTGAGGACAATGCATGACCTGGACAATATATATATTTTTCGGAGCCTGTAATATCAGATAAAGTATTAACATGTTGTACTGATCACAGAGCAAATGTTAACTTTGTCACCTCCAATTATATAGGTTACAGATAAGTCACGAACATGACAGGGCTGTGTGGAGAAGAATGACGAGAACAAAACAAATGTGGTATTACATCCATATTCCAGGCGGTATACCTTGGAACATAGTACTGTAACTGAAGTCATCATTTATTTCAATACCTCTGCTAGGAATCGAACCCGGGACCCCAGGCGTACTTGTCTGACGCTCTTTAGCCGAGTGCTATATTGCGGCTAGTATTTTACCAGGGTTACATACTCCCCCTCCAAGAAATATCTCGTTTTCGAGTTTCCAGGGGTTACAGCGATGCTGATGTCGCATGGCTAAGCACTATTTCCGGGTCCCTACATGGGCGCCAATATAACAGAGGTCATTATTTATTCCAATGCCTCCGCTAGGAATCGAACCCGGGAGCCCTGGCGTACTAGTCTGACGCTCAACCAATCGAGTTAAAGAGAAGTTCTCGTTCTCCGAGAGTCTAGCCGAGTGGTATATTGTGGCTAGTATGTTACCAAGGTTACAGTATCAGAGTTGTAAGTGAATAATTTAAATTGGGTTACCTATTCCGCCATATGTAACCAGGTATGGTACATCGTCTCCAGTTTCATTGATCATACTCTTCATGTGAATTTAGGTTCATACTAGAAATTACACATTTTAAAACTTATAACATTGTCCATGCAGTTGAAACAACCAATACTCATATGAAATAAACTATACCCATTTATGATGTGTTTTAATCTGTTGAGGTGATTCCCGACCTAACAGAACAAGCACTCTTTAGAAGTTATTTCTTCGTATCTAGTTATTTTACACTGTATAAACTCACTGCTTAATATTGAATGGGAACGTGTTAATATTTGATGACAAGCTATCTTGTACATATATAGGTTCGTCATTCACGTTGTACCAGTCTACAAGTTACTTTACTCCAGAAATGAGCCGGTGCGTGACAGCCCTTACTCTTTAGATATTAGTAATATCTAAGACAGTTCACAACTGATTTGTGGATTCAAGAATAAAAATACGGTACTAAATGAAATATTGATAAAGTATATCAATTTTGAATTGTATAACGAATGGAAAGCAATTAATGTTTTCATCAGTATATCAAATGTTAAAGATTGTACAAAAGACACACAAGTAAAGAGCACTTTTTAGCTCAGATTTAGAGTTAGATACAGTAGAATCAAACAATGCACTGCATTATCAATGTATCTGAAAGTGAAATATAACGACTTTGCAAGGCCTCTCTGACCTGTTTTGATAAGATCTTCAATAGATTTAGCCACGTATGAAAACAAAAACAAGTCAGCCAACAGAGGGGCGCAGTTGGTTCCAATAGGTATGCAAATAGTCTGTTGGAAGATCTTACCACCGGGTGTTCCGGAAGAGTAAGCGTCTTATGCTACAAAATCAACTGACAAACGAAGAAGCATTAAACACGTCCGGTTTTCATGTCGCAAACAGAAATATGGTATTTCTCATTGCGATCGCGACGACCGTATACCATCCCAAGAATTTCCAACATCGTTGCATCTCTAGATAGCCTATGCTGTGAGCTTGTCAAATGTCGATTTCTTGCACGAAATACTTGGACAGGCCCGTTGTAAAAGGTATTGTGAAGGATGGAGATATGAACTGGGGTCAAAATACAATAATGGCGAAGTGAACCGCGTGGCTATTCCCATCTCCCATCTCCCCCTCACCCGTGGCTATTCCCATCTCCCATCTCCCCCTCACCCGTGGCTATTCCCATCTCCCACCTCCCCCTCACCCGTGGCTATTCCCATCTCCCATCTCCCCCTCACCCGTGGCGATCCCCACCTCTAACATCCCCGCGGCGATCCCCCACTTCCCACGTGGTAATCCCCTTATCCCACCTCCCCCTTTGCTTCCGTTGCTGAAACTGAACATGTTTACCTAGTCGGAATACGGAATTTTACTTTTGCTTTCCGAAACTTCTCCTTTTAAACAATTATTTTGTTCAGATTTAATCCTGCTGTTATAGATGTCGAGTTTTACTACAAAGTAACTAGTATTTCTCTCTATCTCCATCCACCAGCAGCCCCTTTTATCGTTATACGAGGATTGATAAAATATAACTTGATAAAACGTTATCTTAATTAAATCTTTCCAACGAGGAAACCAAGAAACCAACACAAATGTATGTTTACAGTAAGATTTATTTTCAATATTTTATTGAAACATTTTAAAAATTAAATCTTCGATGCAATTAAAATTCAAAATAGGAGAATTTTAAGTACTTTTCATTGACTCAAAACAATCACAATTATAGAAAAAAAAACTATAAATTTACATCAATTATATTGTATATGAAACGTATTTCTGAAAATGATTTCAGATACAAGGTCATAATGACTAATATTATACTAGTGCGTAAAGCTATATATATCTTCAGTGATATTGGCTGTTGCTATTATTAGCTATTTTAACATTTAACAATTTTTAATATATACTTAAAACATTAAGTGTCATTTAAATATATTTACTTTCATAGTCTACCAATCATATCGTTTATCATTTAACAAAATTGCTAGTTTTTTATTGTACGGTGCATAAAATTGTTCCAGTGCTACTCGTGTTTCCGGTAACATAGGTGGCGCGTCACTATCTTCCTTCCGGTCCTGCCTTGTGTTTTTCGGTGCGGCGGAAGACATTTCATTCAAAAGATCTTCAGATGTAGGAGCTGTAGCAAATACAAAAGCGTCATCCAAATTAATCTAGTAAAAATCTGTACCGACTTCGTCATCGAGCGATAAAGATGGACTACGTGTCTCTATTTTGTCATTATTATCGATGTTACATGGTTAGTTTATATTACGTCAGAAGTACATGTTTATACCTGTATGTTTGTCATCATATCATTACCACAAGATTACCTTGTGTTACCACGACAACAGTATCGACCTCTCATAAAGTTTATTCAAATATAAAGATTGATTTTATCTCTCAACGTGACATCCTCAAAAAATGTTAAAATTACCGATTACAATAAACAGATATCAAAACTGCATTCCTGTGGATCAAAATGAGTAACAAGTCTATATATGTTATATTTTGGTTCATTCTATCGTTCTTCACCGGAGATTTGTTTGACCCAATCCGGCCATGTTGTATGGTCATCTGGCTGTTATTTTGTTTGTCTTTTTAAAGTCATTTGCATAATGTTTGATTAGTTACTTACGCAAATCTAAATAATGAAAAATCTCCTGAAGGTGGCTCTTTGTGTCAACAGCATAATCTTCTAATCGGATAAATAGGAATTGGTCACGTGGGAACTTTTCCAACCAATCAGAAATGTATATATAATAAATTCCAAGACGAAGGCGAGCCTGTGAAAGATAGAAAAACATATATACATCAGAAAGTATGACAAGGTTAAAATGATGTTCAACCGTTTATGTGAAGCCAAAGTAATTAACAAAAACCCATTTGACATAGCATCTGACATTAATCATATACAATCGAACCTCATTATCTCGAACTCGACAATACCACGAGGAATCTTCGAGATAGTCAAGTATTCGATTTAAGTGAGTTTTAATGTTTTAAGTGAAGTTAGGCAGGGACCGACAAAATACTTTGAATCAAACAGGGACTGGAAACCATGGATCAAACAATCATAATGTGTTTATTGATGTGAAAATATATACATATAGTTTCAGGCTATCTTATCAAAATGATTAATTTCTATTTTAATTAGTCTAACGTCATGAATATTATCAGGTGAATACCTTTCCCGTCGCCTCCAAGTAGTAATGATGGACGCACGGTCTGATTCCCCACTTCCGGAAACAGTCTTTGTAGAGGTCTATAGTACTTATCACAATATCATGGAAATGTTGGGGAGACTTACGATTATAGAAATGTAGGTAATCTGAATAGAGTCTGAAAAAAAAATCAATATTATTGTCAATAACAACAACAATAAAATAGGTCAACGGAATCACAGTCCAAGTTCAAACTTAACGAAAAGAACAAAACATGAACAAAACACAGATGTATACTGAGACTCTCAAAAAATACAATGAGAGTAAGACCAGGTGTTCCGGAATAATAAGAATCTTCTGATTCATCTTGGTAAATCCAAATATGTGATGTCTCCTCTCCCAATGGGAACAGGGTATACAGCAATGAAGATACAACACTTACTTATCGGAAAAGGAAATAAGATTCCTAATGTGATCAATATAACGGCTGTAAAACTTCCCATCATATTTACGATACACGGGCAGACAGGTAGTCAACCGAACAGGCGCAATTACAGAGGGGCGAACAACCAAACAGGCTAACAACCAACCAAACAGGCGATCTACCAAACAGGCGAACAACCAAACAGGCCATCAACCAAACAGGCGATCAACCAAACAGGCCATCAACCAAACAGGCGAACAACCAAACAGGCGATCAACCAAACAGGCGAACAACCAAACAGGCGATCAACCAAACAGGCGAACAACCAAACAGGCGATCAACCAAACAGGCGATCAACCAAACAGGCGATCAACCAAACAGGCCATCAACCAAACAGGCCATCAACCAAACAGTCGAACAACCAAACAGGCCATCAACCAAACAGGCGATCAACCAAACAGGCCATCAACCAAACAGGCGAACAACCAAACAGGCCATCAACCAAACAGGCGAACAACCAAACAGGCCATCAACCAAACAGGCGAACAACCAAACAGGCGATAAACCAAACAGGCGATCAACCAAACAGGCGATCAACCAAACAGGCGAACAACCAAACAGGCCATCAACCAAACAGGCGAACAACCAAACAGGCGATAAACCAAACAGGTGAACAACCAAACAGGCCATCAACCAAACATCAACCAAACAGGCGAACAACCAAACAGGCGATCAACCAAACAGGCGAACAACCAAACAGGCGATCAACCAAACAGGCCATCAACCAAACAGGCCATCAACCAAACAGTCGAACAACCAAACAGGCCATCAACCAAACAGGCGATCAACCAAACAGGCCATCAACCAAACAGGCGATCAACCAAACAGGCGATCAACCAAACAGTCGAACAACCAAACAGGTGAACAACCAAACAGGCCATCAACCAAACAGGCGAACAACCAAACAGGCCATCAACCAAACAGGCCATCAACCAAACAGTCGAACAACCAAACAGGCGATCAACCAAACAGTCGAACAACCAAACAGGCGAACAACCAAACAGGCCATCAACCAAACAGTCGAACAACCAAACAGGCCATCAACCAAACAGGCGAACAACCAAACAGGCCATCAACCAAACAGGCGATCAACCAAACATGTGATCAACCCAAACAGGCGAACAACCAAACACGCGATCAACCAAACAGGTGATCAACCAAACAGGCGAACACACTGACATGATATAATATCAAATAAAATTCTATCAAAATCTGGGGTCATCAGAGGACGACCTACCGGTCATATGTTGTGTGTTTGTTTTCTAAGCAGCTGTGGTGTGTAAGTGAGTCCTAAGAGATGCAAGTCTCGCAATGACTTCTTGCAAGTCTCGCAATGACTTCTTGCAAGTCTCGCAATGCATTCGTGTATGTCTCGCAATGTCTTCTTGCAAGTCTCGCAATGACTTCTTGCAAGTCTCGCTATGTCTTCACGTAAGTCTCCCAATGTTTTGTGTAAGTCTCGCAATGTCTTCTTGCAAGTCTCGCAATGTCTTCCTGCAAGTCTCGCAATGTCTTCACGTTAGTCTCCCAATGTATTCGTGCAAGTCTCGCTATGTATTCGTGTAAGTCTCGCTATGTATTCGTGTAAGTCTCGCAATGTATTCGTGTAAGTCTCGCAATGTATTCGTGTAAGTCTCGCAATGTCGTCATGTAAGTCTCGCAATGTCGTCATGTAAGTCTCGCAATGTCTTCTTGCAAGTCTCGCAATGTCTTCCTGCAAGTCTCGCAATGTCTTCACGTTAGTCTCCCGATGTATTCGTGCAAGTCTCGCAATGTATTCGTGTAAGTCTCGCTATGTATTCGTGTAAGTCTCGCAATGTATTCGTGTAAGTCTCGCAATGTATTCGTGTAAGCCTCGCAATGTCGTCATGTAAGTCTCGCAATGTCGTCATGTAAGTCTCGCAATGTCGTCATGTAGTTCTCGCAATGTGTTCTGATGTGCCTCTGGAGAAGGACAATTACCAAAGCTCTCCCCGCAAGGATTAACGCTTCACTAAAGTCAGATTCACAACGAGGCAGTGCTAAAAATAGATATAAAGAGAAAATGGGTTGCTTAGAAAAAATACGAAATAAGTAGAATAACATTTATTATTATTATTGACATTGACATGACATTGACATTGACATGACATTCCTCAAGGCCGTCAACACATAAAAGGTCATTAGGGCCAACAACCAGTAAAACACACAGCGATCCAAAAGGAAATAACATTAAACAAACCAAAAGGTAAAAGACAAATGCTAAAAATCTTAAATGGGTATATCAGCACAAAAGATTAAAATGGTACGTCAAAGTCTATCATACAGACCAACATCTCCTTGACGTTTGTATTGTGTTACCTGTTGACCGGATTTCTTAACATAATGATCAGCTTAGCGCAAGGATTCATGTCGTAGACAAAGTTGCCTGGTGTAAGAACTGGCACGATCCTGTCTTTGTTTTCTGGGAGCTGCATATACAGGTCTGTGTCCCAGATCGTGGAGGGACTAAAGTCTCCTACAAATACAGCAACAATTTCGGTAAACTTGTTCACCGCCATCAGACCCATACAGAATACGTATATTTATAGAATCTTAATTAAGTTGTCATTTTATCTGAGATTCTCTGAAACGAATCTTATTTCAAGTACATGGAGAGAGAGGATGGAGAGAGGGGGGCAGAGAGAGAGGGAGGGAGAGAGAGACAGAGAGGGGGAGAAAGATAGAGGGGAGAGAGAGAGGGAGAGAGAGGAAGGGAGGGAGAGAGATATACAGAGACAAAGTGAGACAGAGAGAGGGAGAGAGAGAGAAAGGGAGGGAGAGAGACAGAGAGAGAGGGGGGAGGGAGGGAGAGACAGACAGACAGAGAGAGACACAGAGAGAGGGAGAGACAGAGGGAAGGATGAGGGGAGGGAGAGATGGATACCATATTATCTGAGATATCAGGAAAGTGTCAATTTAACAGGTATGATGTCAATCTGTGAAGAAAAACGAATCGGATGCAGCCATTTTGTCGCACCATGTTCAATTAATGACGTAACCTGGATTACATGTAACATTGATGACCAGTATAACATTATATTGTTAGGGTTATGATGCCATATCGAAGGCCATAACTCTAACGTCCACTTGATTATCACTAAGATACCGTCAAGTAAACATTGATCTTGTCCTGACTACATGTATATATCTACGATTTATTTCAATGTACTTTATTTGGCTATGGTCGATAGTCAGAATTCGTTCATATGTAAAACACGAAATTCTAGCGGCTCTTGAGAGAAATATCACACTTTTACCTTAATTCAGTCCATTATGTTTCTTTGAAGCTTATCGTAGCTAAAATGTATTTATGATGCATTTTATTGGTTGCTATGGTATTTTGTAACTATTTAATCATTATTATACTTATGTCATTATGATCACTGTATTGTAAAAATGCTCATTTTTGAGATTTTGTAACGACTTGATTATTATCATTACACTGATGTTATAATATATTGGTAATAGTTTGATTTAACGTGCCAATTTAACATTCTCTTTAATTAAATTACTGTTGTTCTTTTTGTAAAATCTTCTTCAAGGAGGAAATAAAGAGAATAATAATGGTCGGATAATGTTTTATACAATATGTAGCAACACGATGTCTATAATGTATCTCAGTGATTAACTTGATACATCAATTCATGTTTTCGACAACCACAATTTCACTCACATTTTGATAATGACTGTCATTAAAATTTGTCAGGATCAATCTACCGATAATTATCAAGATATTGGTGATCGATCTCGCTATCGATTTTGTTTGTACAGTTTTGAATCTAAGTTCTAACGATTTTTTTTATATATATTTCTGTTGTTGTTATCGCTTAATCTGGCCTTACCTGTTATTCTGTTGTCACACGACATATGCAAACTTCCGCCGGAAGTGACGACAGTGGTGGTGTTTTGACGATATGTATCTTTACACCACTTCAGGATTTCAGTTAAAGGTGAAAATACTCTCAAATACATGTTGAATCCTGTATGTAAATCTCGCACGTGCTTAACTATTAAAACAAAGAAAAGAAGAAAAGATACACCTCAAAATCAGGCTGTCGACAACTTGTTTTCTGTCTATTTCAAGCAAATATTCAACTAAGAAATAGTCATATGTTGTTTAATTAAACATTCCATTAAGATAAGTGTTCAGTTTCACTTTTTATATAAGAGAGGCTTTTAATCAATTAGACGTTCTTCTTTCATTTTTATTTTCCTCGACTGATACCACTGTTCAAACCTCTCATTCCACGTGAAAATTATTATCACATTACTTTTTCACGTATCGAGCCGTGAAATAGTTTCAAAATATAGAGGTAATATTTTCTATAATCTATATCCATATTTTTACTTTTTAGAATTATAAAGAACACGAATTACATGTCGAAAATTTGAATTAGTTTTTCTCACAGGACCGGTATCGAAGATCATATCGTATCACCGCAGCAAGCGAGAGATCGGACACAAATATATACCATGTACTCACTGGTACGTTGTCCTTTCGCGTCTCTACTAAGCGGAAAGAACCGGTATCTTGTTATCCAATGGATTTCCTTAAACAATGGAGGTACGTAACCCGGATGTAGTTTTATCCTTTCGAAGAGGTCTGTGGTGCCACATTTAGGAAATCCTAGCACAAAGAAGTAGGGAACACAACCTAACTCTCCTTTGTTGTTAGTCCAGCATGGGTTTCTATAGGACGGCGACCAAAACCATTGACGACTCTGAAAATACACACAGGAAATTTATATATCGTTAAAACATACAACACATGTTCATCATAAGAATATACAGGTAATTATAAAACATAATTACACACAGGAAATATACAGCATCAGCTTTGGTGACCTCCAGTGTGTCGCTTATACACGTCAAAGGAATATTGATATTTCAGCATAATCTTAAAAGTTGAGAATAAGATCAGGTGTACAGGAACGATAAGCGTCTTCTGCTTCATAGATGTCATCGAATGAATAAATTTCAAGTAACTGCATGTAAAGAGAGTAGAAGGTAGACTTTTACTTATATTCAGTAAGAAATGTTTACAGGATCGTTGTTCGTTTACTCAAACATACATAGGCGGTGAATCATCCAACTAAACGGACAAAAACTGCAAAACGTATGTCAATGAACTGATGATAATCACGTTGGGTCAAAAAACAACTTGATAAAGCACTGTACGAGACAAATGATTATATACTTATCTCGTTAAAAGATCGTGCATAACAGTATACGGTGTCTCGGGCTCGAAAGGGATCCGATTTCTATAAGGCAGGGAGGTAATGATAAATATATGATAAATCATTACACTACACGAAATGTTTTGTGACATTTTGAACATCGTATATACTGTACATGTATTTGATATTGCAAATATCAATAAACTGGTTGTGCTTTCAAATAGTTCACCTCACAAAATAGTGTTTGCAAAAGAACAAAATTATCAATTTGGAATACATGCCCTCCTCTCTGTATGAAAGTGAGACACAGGTAAATTGGCATGACTTTAGACAATATGACATTTATTCGTGATATAACTGCCAGCAATGCGTATTTACTGACAAGTTAACGAATATTTATTACGTGGCATATCAGTTCGACTAAACGATATCCATAGATCACAACGGCCTTCTGGTCATTATTCTATAACATAGTAGACAGTCCATGCCGGACGGAAGTTGACCACAGGATCTACTTATGACTGATATATAGGATTTGCTATACATTAAGAGTACATTAAATAAACTCTGTCGATGATATTTTGTAGTACAGCCTGTTTTATTGGATTTTTCCATCAATAATGTAGTGTTTTTATAAAAGTGATCGATAGGGAATTTATTCTGGTAATAAAACTGTTTATAGAACTAGCTGTACTATAAAGTATATCTGTCTTTGGGTTGGCCAGATTAACATGTTGGATATCGTCCATGAAGTAAAAGGCGCTTATCATTCTGGAACAACCTGGCGTTGATGTTATTTCATCTTTTTTCATGAATCTTCGTGTAGTTGTTTATATTATTCATATTGATGCATACGGATCGCAACATCCGGGCACATTGTTTTTGATGCATGTGTGTTTGTCTGTCGTCAACTCTAACCTTGTCTACAACTATTGCACCGTAAGACAATACCTTTCCGGTGGTACCACTTTTTTACCGTTTTATCTTGACCATGGCATTTGACCTACATTTGAAAAAAATAACATTGGCCGTAACTATTAAACAAAAGGCTGTAATATCATTACCACAATGAAGACAAAAGTGTTTCACATAGTGTACATACTATTAGTACATACCTTGCACAGTACAGTGTTAATATACCATTTCTGCATTTTATTGATACCAGGTACAAAGTGTTTCATAGAACCATTTTGTATTTTTCTACTTTTATTGAACTATAGATTGAAATAAGATTCTTATTTCTCGTAAACATTTATCTAAACTGCTAAGGCCTGAATCACAGAGTCATTGAAGCATGATACATTTATTGACGCTTTATAGTTGTCCAAAGCAGAAAAAATATCATGTATCATGGCTTCAGATATCAAATTAACAATTGTTTACGCAAAGAAACACAGAAAGGCAATTTAAACATAATGCACAAGAATGACATTAATACTACATAATGAACAGATTGTTTTGATGTCATATTTCAAATGTTAACAGGCCGAGCCAGGTACAATAACACCTTCTGATACATAATCTTAATTCCATTCAGAATGAGGATTCTAATGACAGAGTAACACAACACATTTGTTAAGATGCACATTAATATTTTGCTAGTCAATCACAGTGAGACTATGATGTGAACGTTAAGACATGTGATTTAAATTGGCAGTAACAACGTCAGGTTGATTGTTTGACTATATATGGTAGTAATGTTTTATTCATGACGTCATTATTAGATTTACGGACTTAACACGGAACTCTTCAACATCGGAGTTACATAAGTCATCAGAAAAGTCACCTTCAATCAGAACATGAAATAATTGACAATCGTCCGAGGCGTGCAACTATACACCGAACAGTAGAACACTGACATTAATATCTTCACACCTCAATTCGCTCCTTAATTCGTCAGTCCAACTTCATTACTGTACAACATAATTAGCAATTTAAAGTCATACTGTCAAAATAACATAGACAACATGATTATCACTAGTGGCGTAGTAATAATATATGTTTGTATCCTTAATCATACACTAGAGATGCTTTTTCCAACTTTTGTTTTTTCTTTACTTCGCCCCCAGGCCCTCTCCTGAAAACATACACTCCTTAATAGCATTTGCTACGCCCCTGGATACATAGAAAAACTATAAATAACTCGAAAAAAGACAGAATATTTCAAACAGATGCGGTGAAAACATATCTAATGCAATCATTGGGAATCGTGATATGTTGGTGATTAATCACACAAGTTTTCTTGTTTGTAACAGGAAACAGGCTACAATTAACACTGTACGGATCACGTTTGAAGCTTGTAAATGTCCACGTGGATCATATTGACTTAAAAAACATCAACACGTCAACACTCCATCAGCCTTATTTTGTAAATTAGCTTTGTTTGGGTCATTATCGTGACTTCATTGAATTGAATATGCCGACAAAAATGGTGTAATAGACATAGAAACAACAAACACAGACGAAATAATGGGGCAATATTGATGTTAAACAACGGTTCTAGTAGCAATGATAAAGATAACCGAACTGTATCATCGAAAATATCGCTTCAATAATCTATTAGTACCTTTCTTTCAAGTGAAAGTTATAGATAATCTTTATTTATTTTACAACAATTAAGAAGCAAGTTTATTCCAACTTATTTAAATCACTCTCTTTGGCTCGGATGGAAGCGCGCGATGGGTCTTAGTGTGGGAGGAAACCGGAGTACTTATGGAAAACCCACGTGGTCGGACAGGTGACCCCATACCTTTTCAAATCCATTCCGGGAATCGAACCCCGCATGGCTAGGTGAAAGGTGAGTGCGTTACCACTGCGCCACCAAACAAAAGTGAAAGTGATGTAAAACGTGACATCATCCATGGAACAAGAGTATAATATATACAGTGAATGTCGTAACCCTTGTTATAGAGGGGCATAATTATTACGTTACAATTAATTAATTATAAAAGACAAGAAGATGCTAATTAATAATAATTAGCCTATAAAACTAGCTCGTGATATATACATTGTACAACAGACGTTAATGTTTAATATGATGACAATGTTGATAGTTTTCACACAGTATGATGTATACAGATTGTATATAACAGTATGATGTATACAGATTGTATATAACAGTATGATGTATACAGATTGTATATAACAGTATGATGTATACAGATTGTATATAACAGTATGATGTATACAGATTGTATATAACAGTATGATGTATACAGATTGTATATAACAGTATGATGTATACAGATTGTTTATAACAGTATGATTTATACATATTGTATATAACAGTGTGATGTATACAGATTGTATATAACAGTGTGATGTATACAGATTGTATATAACAGTGTGATGTATACAGATTGTATATAACAGTATGATGTATACAGATTGTATATAACAGTATGATGTATACAGATTGTATATAACAGTGTGATGTATACAGATTGTATATAACAGTATGAAGATTTATACAGATTGTATATAACAGTATGATGTATACATATTGTATATAACAGTGTGATGTATACATATTGTATATAACAGTATGATGTATACATATTGTATATAACAGTATGATGTATACATATTGTATATAACAGTATGATGTATACAGATTGTATATAACAGTATGATGTATACAGATTGTATATAACAGTATGATGTATACAGATTGTATATAACAGTATGATGTATATATACAGATTGTATATAACAGTATGATGTATACAGATTGTATATAACAGTATGATGTATACAGATTGTATATAACAGTATGATGTATACAGATTGTATATAACAGTATGATGTATACAGATTGTATATAACAGTATGATGTATACAGATTGTATATAACAGTATGATGTATACATATTGTATATAACAGTATGATGTATACAGATTGTATATAACAGTATGATGTATACAGATTGTATATAACAGTATGAAGATTTATACAGATTGTATATAACAGTGTGATGTATACATATTGTATATAACAGTATGATGTATACAGATTGTATATAACAGTATGATGTATACATATTGTATATAACAGTATGATGTATACAGATTGTATATAACAGTATGATGTATACAGATTGTATATAACAGTATGATGTATACAGATTGTATATAACAGTGTGATGTATACAGATTGTATATAACAGATTGTATATAACAGTATACAGATTGTATATAACAGTATATACAGATTGTATATAACAGTATGATGTATACAGATTGTATATAACAGTATGATGATTTATACAGATTGTATATAACAGTATGATGTATACAGATTGTATATAACAGTATGATGTATACAGATTGTATATAACAGTATGATGTATACAAATTGTATATAACAGTATGATGTATACAAATTGTATATAACAGTATGATGTATACAGATTGTATATAACAGTATGAAGATTTATACAGATTGTATATAACAGTATGATGTATACAGATTGTATATAACAGTATGATGTATACATATTGTATATAACAGTATGATGTATACATATTGTATATAACAGTATGAT